CACGAGCAACACCTGAATTGCGGATGGCACAACTTCAGAGTCCTGGCTGCGAAGCTCTGCCAACAAACTCTCAGGCGGATAGACTGTCCATGACCTCATGCGCAGCTCAGCTCAGCATATACAGCAGCTGGGTGTGTCCCAAATCTTGGGCCCCCAACATTTTGTTGCTGGGAATCTCATCTGGAATCATGAAGTGTTTGTCAACTTTCTGGATGTTTCGCAAGGAGTCGATTCGTGCAGCTTTGGCCACCTATAGCACATAAACGATTGCATGCAAGACCAATTCAATTTACCTCAAATCTTAACGGAATCGAATCATTGGAAGCTTGCCTCAGGGATGCGTGGCTTGGCATTGACCTTCCAAGAAAGGTTGACGATTCTTATCATTACCCTTGTTCCTCCGGGTTTGGTTCCCAAAAACTCTTATTCGTACTTGTTTGGAAATGGTCTTGCAAAAATGGCTCATTACAGCTAGCAGCTAGTCGTATACATTGCTGTCCCCACGGACGGTAGCCTGCTTAGGCGAAATGCTCTCGGATCCAGGCTCAGCTGCCTCGGAACCCATTTGGGCTGGAAGTGTTGGGGTTGTTTCGAAAAAACAACATGCTACGGCCTTCTGTTGCTTTGCACTTGTGGCGACCAGTTCAGCCTAGGCAACGGGGAACATTGAAAGTCGAGTATGCTTGCTGGCTATAGGGTTAACAAGCTAGCAGCTCTTGATTGGAAAGAGACCCAAGGATTGGGCCCCTGCATCCGAAGTTGCAGGCCTCAACCGCCTTCTTTTTGGCATCACCTACAGGAATGATTTCGGTGGCAATGCAAACTTGGTTTACCGGCTCATGAACGTTCGAACTGGATCATAGTAAACCAAATGAATTTCCACAAACTCAAGCCAGTACCCCCTGCCTCCGCGGCAGAAGATGCGGATGGCAGAACTTCAGATCCTGGAGGCCCGGCCTGGACATGGGGAACGGCATGTGGCAGCACAGATTTCCATTTTGGCAAAACAAAAGTTGGAAATTGGTAATGAAACAGTGGCCTCCGGTGCACCCTTTTCATCCTGTGAAAAAAGTCAGTTGTGCAGCATGGGTTGTTGTAACGCGTGGGCACACATGGGCTCTCACTGCTGCTGTTGCCTTTTTGTCTTTCCTCTTGCGTGTCTGTTCTTTTTCTTCTTTGTCCTTCAGAAGTGTGCATAGGGAAGCATGAAAACTATTTTATAAAGTTGTGGCCATCGTCATCTCACCACTGGACCTTGTCAACTTTCTTGATCTTCTCAGACTTCTTGGCTTCCTTCCCTTTAGCCTAGTCGCGTGGGGGGGTTCAATTGACCGGATTCTTGCTTGACAGCACTATTATTGCCCAGCCTTCTCCTCTTCCTGCAAATCACCCCAGCCACGAAACAAAGTTGTCAAAAACTGAAGGCAATTTAGCAGTTGGATAGTTGCAGGAAGCAAACTTCACTAGATTCGTAAAACATGTTGTAGTGCTCTGGCCTCATGGGCCTCGGCAGCTTCAGTGGGAGTTTCCTGCGCATTGGTTTTTACATGTCATTCTACCAAAATGAGTTTTTTTCTAAGAATCGTATGGAACGTGTATCGCTGTCCTCTACCACTTTACGGGGTTGGGCTGGGCTTCGCTTACGTCTTTTCTCTGGCTCTGGCACCAGCCCTGCTTTGCGCTTAGTGCAGCTGTCGCTGGGAATCGGTTCATTATCATCACCATCTCCCTCCTCTTCCTGCGGGCCCTCTTCCCCACCTTTCACTGGAACTCCGCGGCCCCTGCCCTGACCTCTCCCCCGCCCCTTGCCCTTTCCAGGTTTCTTGGCTGCCACTTCAGCCTGAGCTTCTCTCAATAGTTGGTTAGCATCTTTGCGCATGTCGCCTTGAACCTGCAAAGGGGGACAACATTCTTATAAGAACATGGATTGGGGATTGCAAACGCCCACCCAAAGCACATCAACTACTAGTACATGTTGTCCAGCCTGCAAAACGAGCCTGGAGACGACCATCATTTGATCGTCAGTCAACGGTGTGGCCTTCTCTGACATTTCACTGTTCAAGTATTGGTTGAACAGCTTAGAAACATTTGGGTTTTCCGGGACATTGGAGAATAACGGCTTGCGGTCCTGCAGCAACAAAAGTTGTCGAACAATGTCAAACAAGGAAAGTGATTATTAGTTTCAAACAACATTGAGCGCGCAACTACAAACAAGAGTGTCCTGGCAACAAACCGATACTCTTTTCCATCTTCTGACTTAATTTCCTGTGCTTCCTCAGCCTGTTCGATCTTGCGTAAGGCAGCTGCTTCTGGTGTGCCGGGTTCACCAGCACCTGCAATGTCGCGTGTGTTGTCTTGTGGCTGGTAGCCTGCATCAGCTTTCTCAGGAACCTTTTCCTCCTTCCCTTCGTTGCTTGATAGCGGCTCAGTTTTTTCTGCCTCATGAGAGTCGAAATACCCTTCAGGAATTTGGCTGCCTGTGTTGAAACGGACGAACTTTGCACGGGGTGTTTCTGGTGGTGTGTCTGGTGTGGTCTCCGCTAGATCCTCATATGTTGTCCCCGTGGTGAGCAATGCTTCAGCTACAGTGCATTTGTCGGGCAATTCTGGGGTGGCGCTTTCCTTGGCTGTGCTTCCTTCGCTTTCTTCTTTGCTGTTTGCATCTGCTTTTGATCTCTTTTTCACCCGGATGCTACCTGAAGCACACCGAACTACATTGGCCAAAAATTGTCAAGATATGTCAAGACAATCCTACAGCGTTGATACAGTACAAACGTCGATGCACGAAAGTTCAACTAAATAAAGGCAATCGGAAAACCTTCTCCCAGAAGCTCCCTCACCAGGCCCTTGAGCTCTTCCATGTGTGTGTGCCCGGACCTGTATGGAGGACGGCGGGAGCCAGACGGTATACTTGAGACAAGTGATCATTCCGGGGCAGACCTGGCACCTCCATTCCTGCGTGCTCGTTTGAGCACGTAGCGGGCAAGTCCAAGTTGGTCATCAGCTTCTGTAGAAGCCCAATCCTTCAATTAAAACAATATGAAAATATGCTTCTTCCAACTGGTGAAATGATCAATGGTTTATATTATAATCTCTTTCCGGTCCTTTAGATCCTGTGGGACCTTGTTGACAACCAATCGTTGGCCACAGGACTTGGCAACGTTGGCGAGAACAGCCTGAGCAGGAAGAGTGGCGATGGAAACCCTTGCCCTCGCAAGTTCCACACTTCTGGCAATTCTAATTTCTTCCCCTAAGAGTTTTCTTGGTTGGAAAGCAGGCGACATATATAGGAGTGTCATGGTTTCAAAACCATACCAGAAAAAATCCACAAGCCTAACACTTAGACGTGCCACTGGAAGCATGGAAAAGAAGGAAGAACATTCCGGAGCCTTCATCTCCGATGCAGGTGGCATGTCCGTGACAAAGGTCGCCAAAAAGTCCATCAGAAACCGGAAGTTGGTTTCATTTTCCACCTCATGCATGTACAAAATAACTTGGCCAACATCATTTTTCAAACCTGAGCCCAGAACAGTGTTAGGGCATATCGTCTCATCAGTGATGTCCACAAAGCTGAAGGTACATGGCGCCTACCAAGTACAGTGATATGAGAATGTGTCATGATCGCCGCATGGTTCTTGGAATTCCCTTGCCTTATCTTGTGCCAATCGCTTTTCCACCTTTTTCTTCGGGATCCCTTGTTTGACAGATAAGGTGTAAAACCGCTCTCGGACGAACTCCATGTCCTGCATCCTTTCGTCATAGAAGGCCTGGGCAGACAGAGGGCAACCAAATGTAGCATCCTGATAATTTTTGGTCGCACCCCTAAATGAAGCACTTGTTTTACATGGCCATGCGATTGTCATCATGAAGTTCGATTTATGTTTCCCCCTCCCAGACTTGGAACTGCTGAAGTGTAAGAGTTTCACAGCCTTGGAATCTGGGGAGCCTGACGTTCAAAAGAGAGATGCGGGCTGGATCCATGCCGGGAGAAAACACAGGATGTCGGAACCCAAACCCTGAGCCTAAACAGAACCCTGGCCACGGGGACATATTGTAAATGCCAATGCTGTTCAGAAAATTTCAGAACAAACTGGTAGTGTGTTGCAGGGCAGCTGCACCTCCACATAGAGCTGCTGCGGAACGCCCTCGGCAATGGTGGGGCTATAATGGTGGGGCTATGGCTTTAAAACCTTTGTGGGAAATTGTTGAATCCAACCATGTTAAGCCCAGAACTCAAAGCTCGGCGGGAAGAGGACATGGCTCATGGTCAGCTTGGACAGCTTGAACTACAGTAATCTTCACACACTTGATCCTCCAACACATACTTTGTACGTGTCAGCTTAATTGCTGACTGCAAAACAATTTCAGATTGTCGAATTGATCTTGTTTTGCTGATTTTTTAAAACTGCCTAGCCCCTCCCTGGGTCTTACCCAGGAGTGATAGATGGATGCACCATAATGCACCTGACTTCCTTGATCCTTCAACACGCAGCTTCCACTGATTTGACCCAGCATAGGCCTTAGTTTGTCGAGCAATTGACGGATGGTCCTTTGGTAAAATCCGAGGTCCTTTCGAAAGGACCTCCAATCAAGGTCCGTTGAAGCTTAGGGTATAGATTTTATTGAAAAGAAGCACCTCACGATGAAATAGCTTGTGTTAAGAAACTCAGACTCACACTGAATTAAACAAACAACACACACGCAAACACGAGTCGTCACAAGGATTGACCCCACCATCACACACAAACCATCGAAAGAAACCAAGCCATGCATCTCACCAAGCTGAAATAATGCGCTTTATGAGCTTGTCAACTCCTCAACCTGCTACTGCTACAATGAATTGAGAGTAGATGGGACAGTGGTTTATATATGGACCCCCCTCTTTTTGACATCTTGGGGTGCCATTGCCATCTAATCTGAATCCACTGTAAATATGTTCACCTTCAGCCTGACACAAAGACACGCAAGGCTTCGCTGCCAGCCCCTCATCCAGCGCCAACCTCAGCAGCTTTCCGCAGTGGGCTGACAGACGAACACAGCGCGGCACAGCGAGCGAAGTCCTCCGCGTTGGACAATGGCTCCATGGCGCACGGACACCATGCGATTCAGGTCTCGCAGGATGGTTACCGTTAATGACCTCATGTCCTATAGTCGAGGATATAGAGATGCTGCAGGTGAAAGATGCGAACATGTTGGCCAAGCGCATCTTTGTTTGGAGGGAAGTTGTTGACAAAGCTATTGGCTGACTCATGATGATAAGAACACGGAAGCTCAAACATGAATGCTGACGCATGGTTGCTGAGGATTGACGATGTGGGAGAACTCGTCCTCTGGGTCTTGAAGACGTATCTCATCATGTTTGACATAGTTTGCAGCTTTGAACATCTGAGCAAATCATCATTGTTTTATAACTTCTTATACAGTGCAAAGGTGACTGGACCCTGGACCATTGGTGTTCCTGGATTGTTCCATGATCCATCTTCTTTCGCCCCGATGCTTACTGCGGAAAATCTGCGCGACGGAAACCCGTCTGCTAAAGACAATGGAGTGATTTGAGCTACAGGCCAAAACCTGGTAGAAAGTCCATTAAATGATCTGTACTAACCACCACTAAACCATCTGCAATTAAAAAGCACTTCCACTTGCCAAACAGCTCCGTAAACAATCCAAAACACGTGCCAACACATGCCAACACAAAGTATACTGATCGGGAGAGCCAGGTGGTGTGCCTCTTCTTCCCCAACACGGCACCAAAGATTAATGTATGTATGATCACCTTGGAGTAGGTGCAACCATGGATGGTTTCAAACCACTATGAGTCAAGTTTGGTAAGATCTCCTCTCTCACCCCCCTTCCAAGACCCCCGCAACCCTCCACAACGCCAGTATCCATTTCGTAGGTCGGGTAGTCAGTCATTTTGGGCACTAGGCTCAGTCCAAATACTTTGTAGGCACGATGTGCGTCCGGGCGCTAACCAATTAGCACAACCACCATTACAACATATGTCCAACCACCCACAAAAATAAGCCGTTCACGTCCATGTCGCAACAGCGGCTTGATTCAGAATATGGTTACTGCATGTGACTACCCTGTCTTGTATAAGCTTACCCTTGTTACTAGATGGGAATTTCATTTGCCTGCTAAGTGTTCAATGCAAACCTCCAACCCTTCGCTCTAATCCACTCGCATCGAGGGTCGATCCGATCATTTCCCTCCGGCATGAACCATGTGGCACCGGTGACGCGTGGTGAACCCCTCAAGAAGATGCCCAGAACGAATTGGAAGGTTTGGGCCGTCATGGATGGGATTGGATTCGGTGGATTTTTGTTCCGAAGTGATCAATGGAACGCCCTAGTGGAAGAGGCCCACATGGAACCTGAACACCACTGGTTGATGGAAGCATCCATATCATCGATCTTCCCTGACTCAAGTCCATGTCATGAGGTTCCATGTTCATCATCCCGGGTGGGGTCCAGTCACCGTCCCGGTTTGCTGTTGATATCGTCCCTTGCCCAAACTCTCCAGGGCCTGACTGGCGTTCATCGCTTCATGCGCATCTAAGATGCTCCTCCCCACCTGGGATTGGTCGTGAGGTTTGGAAAACTGTGCGCCACGAATCCTGCGGTGTTTTTCTTCGTCAACCGTCGATGAGGTGGTCGAAGCAACGCAGGTCTTTCGCCCTCGGCAAACCATGAGCGATTTTCGGGCCAAACATGGCAAGACTCACCCACCCACATGGTACCAACTGGTGATTTCTGTGCCAAACCCTGGCAAAAGGCATTGGATTGGTTGAATTCTTCCTAGAGAAGTTGATGTATGTTTCTCCCCATCCATTCCAAGACCAAAACACTTATAGTTCATTCATGTTCACCCTCACAACACTCAAACGTCACCTCTACACACCTTTGAAAGCGCGAAAAAACACACCCAGAATCGACCCATCTTCTCTCAGACCATCCCAACCAACTCCTCCGAAACCAGCCGCGCAGCCTCACCAGCCGCGCAGGTGAACCGGGGTCTGCGCACCTCTTCGGGCTTCAAGCCATAGTCTGCGGCCCAATCCGCCACCACTGGCAGAAGCGAAGCCTCGACGCCCGAGGGACCGGGGACTGAGGGTCCGACGGCCGGCGAGCTGGCCGAACATACGGGGGGCCGCCCAATCACGGGTGGGCGGAAGGAAAGCCATGGCGATGCTGCGTCATGGATCACGTCACAAACAACTCTCACAAAAGAAATCAAGAACATTGGTTAGTATATGCAGTATGCAGCATGCAATATGCAACATTAACCTGCAACATTGGTAAGAATTGTAAACCAAGGCGGCTAGAACAATGCCTTGACCTTTCGCGTGTTCTAGGCGGCTTCAACCCCCACCAAGCCCTGAGTGGCTTTCTTCAGAGGAAAGCAGAAGCCTCGATAAGGTGGGTTGTAATTCAACATGTGCTTCATCTCCCTGCGTCACACCTGTTATATGTATGTATACAATATGCATATGACTTTGAACCCGTATATTATAATGGTTGTAATGGTAAGCGCTTTGGTATACCTAATAGTCGTATGTATAAATAAGACAGTAACTAGTAGTTTTCCTAGGCCTCCAGTAGAACCCACAAAATTTGACGACCCTATATACAAAAACTGCACCACTGGCAGGCAGGATCCAAATATGTCTCAAGAAGCGAATCCAACTAATTCGATAGAAATACGGACGTTCAAAATGCGATCTTCTTGTAGATCCATTCTAATCCAATTTCAACTCGCCGAAATCATCAATGGATGTGGATTAGGTATGAAAAATAGTCCCTTCATGCCCCTTGAATGACCATGTTCCACCATTTTCCTCGACTTTGGGGCTCTCGCAGCTCCTTTGACTCCGCTCGCCTTGAACTTCTCCCAGGCCGCCCCCCGGAGGCCTCCGGTGTCCATCAGACCGGACGGAAAACCGTGCACCAGAAACCCACCAAGCTTCAGAACCTGGGAAGTGCTACTTCAGGTGGTAACAACCTCCGTGTGAAACGAAGGAAGCCAATCAAGGTTTGACCAAGTCTTCAGTCCTCTTCATCCGAACTGACCCCCAGATGCCGGAGGATGGTTCTTTGTTGGAATATCCAGGCTCGAACGAACTCCACCGGTTCATGTTTTGGAAGCCAAAATGCCCAACACTTGGTGAAAAAAGGCACCAAACAAGAAACACTTCCCCTTATTCCCGTACACAGTCCCAGTTGCAATATGAAACCCATGCGAAAAGAGGAAATACAACACACCTAATTATACATACAGGACCTAGAGGACCTAGATACAGTAACTTTGTATGTGAAGTATGTATATATATATATATATGTAGTAGAACTTGCCCCAGCATCTACCACACCAAAGCTGCAAAAAAACACAGTTACTGCCTGCTACTGCGCCGGTTTCCGCAGGAGTGATTTGAATCGGGGAACATGTGGTCCCGGTTCATTGGCCTGGTGAGTTGGTGTTAGACCTCCGTTCCCCTAATTGAGCATGGTTCCAGCCTGCTTTGGCTGCTGCAGCCTGGTCCGATGGCCAGGGTGTGGTCGGACTCGGATTCATGTCCCCAATCTCCCACAGCTGTGTCATTGTGAAGGAGGCAAGATAGGGTCGGTCTCCCTATTTGAAGCTACACACCGGGTTTTGAGATGTGCACTCAGTTTTTCACCCCACGCAGCGGCACAGGAAGAAAAGAAACCCATGACAAACCAGGAGGAATTCTCTTGGATCAACACCCTGATGACGGGTTGGTTGATGGTGGTTGTGTCAGATTCAGGGAAGTGCCCACAGTTTTTTCCCTTTAGTGGGCGGCTGATGGGAAAACGACTGGACTTCTACGTCTCAGATCAACCAGATCACACATCTCAATCCACATGATTTCAACAACTTCAACCTCAACTTGTAGGACTTCCATGGAAAACGGCTTCCTTTCTCAACTGAACTTCTAGACTGTTCGACGGGCCGCCGTGATTTGGGTGCTTGGAGGGGTGAGCAGGCGTGGTATAGAGGCAGACGTGGGCCCTGAGATGAACTTCCGAGGAAGACGGTGCCGGTGAACATCAATGTTGAGGATATAAAACATGGGCCTCATTGGTGGCAATGGATGAGTGTTGATCATTCACAATAAATACTGTATGTGCAAAACACATGACACAATGCTATTAAGAAGTGCTGGGCCAAACATGCTTCTTTGGCTTAGCTTTAGTCTGCCCTCCCTTCTTCTTCCATCTCAGCTCATCAGGTTGGTTTCATCCACCACAGTCACAGTTGGTTCCCAGTCACCTCCGCATCAGCACCCATCTCTGGCGCCGACTTCCAGTGCCGTTGCGCCTCGCGGGTTCCAGGACGTTCACGACGGGGGTGGGGTGGAACCGCGCTTTCCCTTTCTACAAGCCTGGAGGAGCAAGCAGTTCCTCAGAAAATTTTGACCATGTTCTCCCAGATGAACCGCCCTGAACGCTGTCTGTCATCTTTATATGTCCTATAGAGCTATGGCATCTCTGATTCTATGGGTTGCTTCTTCCTGCCCCAATGTGCACAATCCGGCTCTTCACACCATCACCGTTCGGACCGTCCTTGACATGTCACGAAGCGTCCTTGACATCGTTTCGGTCACTTCTGAAGGGCTGCAAACAGAGACTCCAGTGAAGGTCACGAAACCCTTCAGGTCCTGGAACGTGTTGACGTGTTCTTTCCAAACAGAAACGCCACAGGCCTTGCTGCCTGTGGCGTGAAACAACACACCCGGGCCTCGAAGATGGTCGCGCGCGCGGCGTAGGTGGCGCTCAGTTCGATGGCCGCGGACGTGTGCACGCCCAGCTGCAGCAAGGCCTAGGCCGACGGGCTAGCCGATGTGGAGCGAAGCCGATGGCTCCGATGGCATCGGTGTGCTATGAAAGGGCCATGAAAACCGTGGGAGTGGCAGTCTCATTGTAGATTTTGGATGATTTCGAGGGTACTTTTCTGAAGATGGGCTAAGCAATTTCTTGATGCCCCTTGGTGTACTTGCTGTGTGGAAATCGAACGATTTGCACAAGACCGGATGTATAGACGTTGCGGCGTGTTCTCGTGTGTTCTGATGCTGGTGCAGACCGGTAGTTGATGTGCGCGCTGCGTT